GAACATCAACTGTTGCAAGTATTTCTTCAGCCAGCTCCCAAATCATGACATGGAGACTTTTAATTATGAAAGCTTGGCTGACAGCTTTGGCGTGTTTTTAGCTAGCTGTTATAGCTTAAATGAACCCATTTCTGTTCCTCTATGTGCTGCCCTGAGGCTTGATTACCTCACCTGTGTACCTTCCATCCTGCATCTCTGCTTCCTCCATATCTCCTTGCAGCCCCCCCCCCCCGCCCCCGCCTTTGTCTTCCCCGTGTCCTCTGTGCCTGGAAATCCTGCCTAGCTATTGGCCATTCATCTTTTGATTAAACCAATCAGAGTTACACTTCTTTGCAGTGTACGAAAAGATTATTCCACTACAACCAACCAGGCACAGTAGTGCCCTCCTGTAATTCCAGCACTCAGGAGGGAGAAGCAGGAGGATTGCTACAAACTCAAGCTCACCTGGCCATGCAGCAAGTTCAAGCCGTTCAAGCCTTTGCAATGAGAACCTGTCTCCAAGAGAAAAGGAAGAACACAAGGAAATGAAGGGGCAGAGAAAGAGTGACCAAGATGGACAGCTAGTGTTCGAGACCAGGTTGTTCCTATGTGACAGGGAGGAACAGCCTTCAGCAAAGCCCAGCTGACATGCCAAGGCAAACAGAGACAATGAGGAGCAGCAACAAGGATGGGTTGTGAGGAACGCTCTCAGAAAACCCACGTCCCGATTTGAATTTTAGACGTGCGGAGGCATGGTTTGTCTTGAAGTCCTGGGCATCTGCTCCCTTAGAAAGAGGATGTAGGGTGTGAGCTATAAATGAAGAGAGTAACAGTTATTCTAGAGGAGCCAACGGACACCCCACACCCGGAACAAAACCCAGAAAGTTATAGACAAGGCTGAACCAGAGCATTTTAATGACCACTTTCCAGAACCTTGCTTTCTTTTATATATCATATTGAACCAATCATTTCAAATACTTTTAAAATCCTTAACTATGTCATTGAGTGAGATGTGTACCCTTCATATCTTTACTGGTTTAATACAATTTGGTTTTCAATCTGTTTTTAGAAATCAAATTTTATCAGATACAGACATGGGTGGCTGTGCTTGTGATACTGAACAGCTGGCTAGAAAGGCTTTATTTGCATAGGAGACAGGAGCATTGTGGTCTACAGTGAGGCCAGCCATGCTGGGCAATCATCTTCAGACAGTGTCTCCCTTCACTTAAGGCTCACCTTGTAGGAACCTTCTTCTAAGTTATTAACATTGCACACACCATCTAAAACATCTTAAGCATTTTCTGTTTGTACTTCTGCTGTCTGGCCTGGTGGGATATGTTAACCTGAGTGATGCAGTCATGGAAGGACCCAGAGGTCTTTGTCCCTCTTCCCCAAATGCCAGAAGCATTTTCAGTCCTTCTAATAACCGAAACTTCTGGAGACAAAAGAGTTCAGCTAAGAATCCCACTTCTACATGGTAGGGAAGCTCTACCATGTACCTTAGCTTGGGCTTGTCACACTCTCTCTTACAACTTAAATTAACCTGCCTATAGTAATCTACATGTGGCCTCGTGGCTTTTTACCTTTCTTTCATTCTGTGTGTCTGATTGTCACCCCTATGTCTCATTGGGGTCTCCTCTTCTCTTCTCCAAATCCTCTCTGTACAGAAGTCCTGCCTATACCTCCTGCCTAGCTATTGGCCAGTCGGCTTTTGATCACACCAATCACAAAAATACATTTTCACACAGTGTACAAATATCCCACCACAGAAGCAAGGTCCCAGGCGTGCAACAGCATGCCCAGACTGTCCAGTCGATCCTCAAGTGTCCTTACTTCTAAAACTTCATCGAGGCACACACTCAAGGCACGCCGAGTAAGTGACGATTCTCATTACCTTTTTAGTGTTTGGATTACAGATGAACCCATGCTCAGTTAATGTGGTGCTAGGGATGGAACTAGGGCTACATGCACGCTAGGCAAGCACTCTACTAACTGAGCTACGTTCCCAGCCCCTTGTCCCACAGTGTATTGCTTTGTAATTCTGGGTGGCCTAGAACTCATTTTGTAGTCTAGCCCAGCCTCAGAATCATGGTAGCACCCCTACTTTAACATCTCCATGCTAGGATTATAGGCAAACAGCTGTCTGTTTTATTCATGAAAGTCATTGTGACCAGAGAAGATGGCCTCTCGATGTAGTTTTAATTTTCATTTCCTTGTTAGCTAACGATGTTGAGCAGTTTCAAGTAGTTATTGGCTATTTGTGTTTCTTCCTTTGAGAGCTGTCTATATAGTTCATTAGCCTACGTTAGGATCATTTTGGAGTCTTATAGATTCTGGATATTAACCCCCCGCTGGGTTCATAGCTGGTAGAGATTTGCTTCTGCGCTGCAGAGAGGCTCTCGGCTCTGTTGGTTGCTTCCCTTGTTGCTCAGCAGCCCTTTCATTTCCTGCAGTCCTCTTTGTCAGTTGTTGGAGCCTTTTCCTGCCCTGTTGGAGCGCGGTCCAGAAACCCTTGCCTGTGCCTCCATCCTGCCGTACTCCTCTAGTGTAGAAATCGTTTCTTTAAAAGGGAAAGCCACGGGTGTATGTAGCTCAATGACACAGTGCTTCCCCCAGTGAACCAATTTTGAGTGTTCCCAGAACACACATGGTGGCCGAAGAGAACCTCCTGACTCCCTGCTCCCCAGCCTTCACTCCCCACCCTCACACCCACAGAGTGACAGCCATGCACACATCCATGGGTGCCCACCCCACCCCCACACGCTAAGGGGAAAAATTGTAATAAAAGAATATATTTTAGAAGGCAACCCCCAAATTTGGCATAGTTGGCCAGAGTCCCTTGTCCCCCATTTACCTCTTTTAAACCCCAGTTTCCCAATCTGCCAACTGAAGTCAAGGATTGGAAAGGAGGTGTTGGGAAAAGGGAATGAGTTGCTAAACCGGGCATTCAAGGCCAGCGGCAGGCCTCAGTGGGTGAGCTGCAGAAAAGCCTCGCTCTGTCTGAAGATGCATTTGCGGAGGTAAAAACAGTCCCCGTTCACGAGAGCTTGCTGTGCATCTGCCACTTCGCATATAATTATCTCAGTTAATGTCACCTTCATCATAGTTCTGGGAGGGGGGTGCTACCATCTCTGTTTTCATGGTGAGGAAAATGGTGTTCAAAGGGAATGGTACGCTTGCCCAGGTCTTAGAGTCTAGCCAGGATCTTAACAAGACCTGGACTTGCTAGAGTCCCCAGATACAGAGAAGAGATGGTGTGTCACCTAGCCCTGCGTGGTCCTCTGGGCATGGGTAGGAAGCCCCGGGCATGGGGATTCAGGCCCAGTTAACAGGCAGCTGCTTGAGTCTGAGAAGGGAATAAGATGCATTTTCACTTATTTACTGTGCACGCTTTAAGGGCTTTGAATCCACGGGGTGCAAGGTGAATTAAAGCGGTCTCAATCTTGGGTGCAGGCAGCCAGACAGGTTGCAAGCCAGCTGTGGAGTTCTAGATGGCCAAAGACCGAAGCCGAGCTCATGTGCTTGGTCCTGGAGGAGGCAGCAACTGGAAGTTAGGTCTCTCATTTAGGTTTTGGAAGCTAAATCTGAGAAATGGCTCGTCCAGAGTCACACAGCCCCAGACTACTGAAGCTAGAAGCCTAGCTCTGGGTTTCTGAAGCTTGTGACTGCTGCAAGAAAAACATAAAGTGCCAGAGGCCAGGCCTCCCATGGCGGCTGTCAGCAGAAGGGATAATAAACACTCTAGGTATGGGGCGTATAATTAGCACACACCTGAAAGTGGTTTTCCCTGTTGTTGTTACTAGGTTTTTTGTTTGTTTGTTTTGTTTTTAATTTCAGAACAGGGTTTCTCTGTGTAGTCCTGCCTATCCTGGAACAAGCTCTGTAGACCAGGTTGGCTTCCAACTCAGAGATTCGCCTGCCTCTACCTCCCGAGTGCTGGGATTCATGTGTGTCACCACGCCTGGCTGTGGTTTTCATTTTTAACCGGAGGTTCTATAGGACTAGAAGGGCTGGTGACCTTTGTCCTTCTCCCAGTGCTGCCCAGAGGTGTCGTCTGCCTGAAGGCCCCTTTCTTTGCAGGGCTAAGAGAGGCCTGCTCTCTGACCAGTGCTCCTTGCACTATGAGCGACTAAGTTCTGAGACCATTTGTTACTCAGTGACTGCCAGCTAGATCCTGGGAGCTGTCAGACTCACCGCCTTCATCCCCTGGGACAATGTGTGCCACCATCTATGTCAATGAAACAGATGGACAGATGGGCAGGCCACTACGATGTTTATCATCTGCCAGAGTTTGTATTAGGAGTGTCCCCACAAGCCGCATGCCTCCGAGTGCCTTGATCAGCAGTCACCACGCTTCCATGAGACCTGGCTCAGGGTCCTCAACTCTGGCCTTGTGTGATCACCGTGCCTTCCCCTCCCTGTGGGGAGCTGATTAAAGTACTCCTTCTCCTGGCCTTGAGAACTTGACTGTGCCGAGCTGTCTCCAGGTTTCAAGATGAAAAGGAAAAAATAGCTCTATCCCTGTCCCCCAGGAGCATGTGAGCTCAGACATGTTCATAAATAACAGCCTGCCCCAGCAGGAGGTTTGCCATTCAAGCCGGAGCACGGGGGCAGATTCCCAGCCTAGACTTGTGAGTTGGGAGACAGCAGAAGGATCTTTATGGTGACCAGTCAGAGCCCCAGTGAGGAGCCAGGCCAAGGTCAACGGCAGGAAGGTCAGTGTAGGCAGACTGGACTATGGCTGGCCTAACTGAGATTTCCCCCAGCTCCTGCTCCTTTCTGAGACTCCATGACCGAAGATTAATTACTTTCCTGGAGCCCCCATTCCATGGTGGACCATTCTTCACTCATCACCCATCTCTCACAGCCAGTTCCACTCTCTACCCTGGGGATCCACCACACCCTAGGTGACCATAGGTTTCTCAGAGCAATTCACGCCATGCAAGCTGCCTTATTTTCACATCTTTTATTTATTTCCCAATGGGAATACAAGCTGCTTGAGCGCCTGGAATAAACCCACCCACGGAAACCAGGCTCAGCACATCAGTGGCGCTTGTGGGATGGAAGCAACGTTAATACAGTCGGGCTGTGTTTACAAAATGTAAACCTAGAGCTTGCCCCTCAACCTTTCATCCCTGCCCCCCATGATCCTGCAATGTGGCTGCCAATGCCCCCATGGGACAGATGAGGAAATGGAGGCTCAGGGAGACCAGGGTACGGCTGGCCCATCCTTCTCAGCTGCCAGGAAAGCCCAGCCAACTCAAACGTCCTGCTGCTCTCTGAAAAGGGCTGTGGGATGAGAAGTAAGGGGACCCAGAACTGTAAGTCTCAGTGTCGTGAAGAAAGTCCCCAGCCCGTTTAAATATTCGGAATCATCAGTTCTCTACCCACACCATGCCAAAAGTCATTGCCCCTGATAGATGGAGACAAGTTCTGGGAAAGGGTCCAAGTCTAGGGCTGAAGGACCTTGGAGCCGCAGTGGGAGGGGACAGGGAGATGCACTTGGCTTTTAGGAAAGTCCCCAAGAGCAGCATTTGCAGGCTACATGGTTAATGGACTTGGGGTGGGGTGGGAATCTGCCACCTAGAAGTGGTGGAGAAGATTCGGGTTTCTTCTGGCCACACAGGACCCTCCTCCAAAGAACCTCTGCTTAACTGGACCCCTCCTGCTGCCATAGGATGCCGCACAGAGACCGGCTGCCTGCTAGCATGGGGCCTGGCAAGATAGTTACGTGAGGACCAGAGGCCTTGAAAGCAGCACCCTTTGTCAGAGAAAGCCATGCCCACCACCTCCCCTGCTAGCTGATTGACCTGGCGGCATCCTCCCCAGGAGCACCAGAGCAGAGTGAGGGGTGGGGGGGGGTCACTGCAGTAACTGTCTCCACCATCTGTCGGGAGGCACAAGCATCCCAGGGGGCAACTTTGACCTTTATAGCCTCAGTCTTACCAAATATCCACTCTCAGTTGATCCTGCCTTCTGGAGTCACAGACAAACAGTTCTAGCCACATCTAGTCTAGATGGTGGCTGTCACCAGCACATGGTCTGTGTCTTTGGGGACACTGGAGAAGTCTTTCTGCTGGGGATCTAACACAGCAATGTTCCAGAATCCAGGGTCCTGAAGGAGTCAAACGTGAACACTGAAACCCTGCTAATTATGGGGAGCAACGATGGTGGGGAGCACTCATAGGGAAGAGCACTCACGGTGGGGAGCACTCACGGTGGGGAACATTCATGGTGAAGAGAACTAATGTTTGAGCAACACAAACTGGAACCAGAGCTGCCTCAGGGAGTTAAGATGGGCAGGGAGAAGAGAAGATCTGGCATTTGGGACCAGCTCAGGCTTGTGAGTATCCATGGCCTCACTCTAGTCCCCCAGGATTTCTGACCCAGACTTTCAGTCCCCGTTTTCCTGTTGACAGACCCTCCTGTCCCTGTGTTCACTCTCAAATTCTCCCTTATTCAGTAGCAGAGTCTTTCAATCCTGCTCCTTTTATGGGTCTTCCAGATATCTCCTGAGGTATTCACTGGCACAGATTCTGCCCCAGCGTTCTGGGAAGGTGGGGCCAAGGCCCAGCCTCTTGGTTCTTTGCCTGTGGAAATTAAAAGAAATGTGCTCATTTGTTTTTTCTCTCCTTTTGATTCTGACAGTTGCTGGCATGGAACTTACCCTCCCTTACAGGTAGGGCGACATCCTGTATGCTTAGCTGACTCATGTTTTCAGAAGGGGAAACTGAGTCTCAAAAGAGTGTCTCAGACAGACGGATAGGCAGGTACACACCACACACACATACACACACACACACACACACACACACACATCACTGGGTGGGGGATCAACTCAGAGTTCAGGTCTCTACCAGGTACAATCTGGCTGTCACATCCCTTAATCCCACTAGTGAGAGTCAATCAAGGTCAAAGGTTGCTGTGACTTGGCCTTCAGTGACTGGGTGGAAGGATTCACTGTCTACCCAGGAATCCCTGGGCTCCTGATGTGTGGCAGGCATCACTCTACATCCTGGGGATTTGACAAAGAAAGACAAAAACTTGGAATTTTAATTCTGATAAAAATAGCTGAACAAGAACTAGGTAAACAAAAGAACCAAAAGAATGTAAAGGCAATCATCCATACAGTGGACAGAAGGCCATGAGGGCAGAGGGACTGCTCATTAGAGAGGACAGCCAGGGCCTGGCCTGCGGAAGAAGAACCCAGCTACATAAAGAGGTCTTCAGGCCAAGGAGCGGCAGTGCTTGTGATGGGGCTGAGCAAAGAGCAGAGCAGAAGGGCTGCACCCGGGAGAAGACGCCCAGTGCTGTGAAATAAAGTTAGAGAGGGGTGGGAGAGTGGGAGGAGAGGTTGGGAGGTGAAGCTCCTGTACACCTTGGTCCACTGGGAAAGAGATGCAGGATGTGAGCTGGGAATGTGTCACACACGACCTGGATGGTTGTCCCCCTGCTAGAATAGGAGAGAGGGAAGTCCTGGCTCCATGCAGCCCACCTTCTGGTCCCTGCCACTCTTTCCTACTGCAACTCCTGGTCCTCCTCTTTCACCCTAGATCATGCTCACCTCTATTTTTCCTCCAGACATGACTACCAGCTCGCCCCGAGTGGCCCAAAAACCATGAGGTTTCCTTAGTCAGAAAGGCAGTGAAGTCTTGATGCTAAACACCTGGAGAGAAAGAAATGGGAAAGTTTCATTACCCACATAAATCTTCTCAGGTTTCTCAGGCTCCCAAGTACAGCTGTTCTGTTATGGCCACAAGGGGTCGCTGCGAACACCAGTCTTGCATAGCCCTGTGGACATCCGGCTATGTATTGGGCACCCTAACTGGTCAGCTCCCAGCCCCAACCCCCCACTGCTGGGGCCTCAGTATTCCCCACTAGTCACCAGATGGCCACTTGGGGGCACACTTCTATATTCAGCTCTTCTTTCTCAGGGTACCATACATAGAGAGACTGGTTCCACGGGACTCTTAGCTACATGAATGCAACCTTTCCCCTGAGCTTGGACTCTTTTTCTTACTGATAGATGTCACTACCAGTCCCAGCCCATGAGCATCCCAAGGAAATCTAAGTTCAAACACCAGAAGACATGAATCAGGGGTTTCAAAACCCCTACGATATTTATGGGTTTTTTATTCCTAAAAAGCTCTACTATATTTATGTTTTATATCAGGAAATATATATTAAAACCAACATGTTCCCACAGATTACAGCAGACATTAGAAATACTTAGTTTTGTGCAAAATTTTCAGAGCTCAAAAATACCATAAAATCAGTCAATTAAAAGAAAACCATATTACTGCATCATCTAATTTCTGTCATATATAGCCAGACCCATTCATATTTGTGTATATGTATGTTCTTGTGTGTGTATACTTTTCCCAAAATTTGAAATAAAACCCATTCTCTATTAATGACAAGAAAGAAAAAGCCAGCCTCATCAGCAGGCAGGCCAGGATGTTCCGATCTGAGCATAAACATAGATCGATGTGCGCAGCATCCAAACTGAGCCCAACGTCATCGCGTCTGTGTTTCAAATGAGGCAGGAACAAAGCCACTTTGTGGCCACATAAATTATCAAGCACCCTCTCCTTTGGTGATATGAGTCATGGTTGCTTTTTTAGGGATCACACTGATACCCTCCACTGAACTTCCCAGCTCTTTGCCAACACCCACTGCAGAACCTCCTTCTTAGCCCCACCTTAGAGTCCACCAAGTAGAATCCACAGTTTTTAAGAAACTCCTCCCCTTTTCATCCTCCCCTTTATTGGCCCATTGCACGGATCCTCTCAAGTACAGTCTCCCTGGAGCAGCAAACGACCTTAACCTTAACCTCCAGCTTCATTCCAGGCTGCTCCTTCTGATCCTGACGGCAGCTCTCGAGAGGAAATCAGCACAGCTTCTCCCCCTGTGACCATCAGAGGCAGCAGGCTCTCTTCGCTGCCTAGCAGTGCATTGTTTGGATGACAGCACCTACCTTATCTTACCCCACTCTCCCCCATCACCTTTTCTCCCCAGTATTTCCAGTCATATGTTCCTTTAATGCAATATCTCAACATCATTCTTTTTTACTTCACTACATTTATTGGGATTTTTTTTGTCTTCTCCAGTGATCATCAGTCAGGATATCCCCCTCCTCAACACACACACACAAAGGCTGTCATGGAGCAACTTTAATGAGCGGTGAACCAAACCAAATAGGGACCAGAAACTCTTCAGGAACACAGGAGTAAAACTGCAGACTGGGTCCTTTTTCCAGTGCTTGGAAGGGTCAGTAACAGGGCTGGAACAGAAGGTCACGGGAGTGAGCGAGGTGACCTGGCAGGCTGCCAGCAAGCCAGGACCTCAGGGATCTAGGAAGAGCTCCCACAAGTGGAAGACAGCAACACTGGAGGTCAACAATGTACCCGGCCCAGTAGTAACTGAACCCTGGGACCAAACACTCCCTCCACACCTGCCAGCAGTTAGCTCTGAACCGGAGTAAACTGGGCTCAGGAAGGAAAGAGAGTGGAGGAGACAGGTCCAACTCAGCTTCACAATCCAGAAGCCACAGAAGATCTCTGGGGCCCTGCTGGGAAACAGAACTCAAGGCCACTACCCAAACCTTAGCGGGGCCTAGTCCCTAGGGGCCTGGAGTCTTCAAGGAGTTCCTCAGGCTGGAAGATGTTTTGGTCTTTTGGACTTGGGCCACTGTGGAACCAGCCAGCGGTGAGTTTGTGCTTTTACAATGGCAAGTCATCAGTCAGCTTTGGAGTTCAGGGCAAGAGTTTTGAAGACATCAGTATTAGACCCTAATTTAACCTGTAAGCCCCACCTGTCTAAGGACCAGGTAGCTTCCTGGAATTCTGGGAGTTGTAGTTCTTGAAAACAACAAGGTCTCATGGGAAAGTATGGTGGCCCATGGGTTTTGTCCATATAGGCCCAACAACCCAAATGATGGTCCCAATCAAATTTCATCTTGGTCAGTATTTAACATTTTAATAAAAATCTTGCTTTAATTTGGTCAAAGTGGTGAAACTGGAACAACCAGGTCCCAAGGTTCAGATTCCGAGAGAGTTATTGAAAAGGTTCAATCAGAAGGATCAGCTTGCGCGAATTTGGAAGCCTATTACTTTTCTTATACTGAAGAAAGAAACTACCCTCCAAATGCCCAGGAAACAGGATCCAGGAACCTTGGATAGGAAAGAAAATAGATTCACCGAGAGCTTTTCATACAGGAAGCAGAAGAACCAGAATCAGTAGTTCTCAACCTGTGGGTCATGACCCCTTTGTGGGTCAAATGACCCTTCCACTGGGGTCGCCTAAGGAAAAATACAGATATTTACATTAAGCTTCATAACAGTGGTAAAAAAATACAGATATGAAATAGCAATGAAAATACTTTTGTGGTTGGGTTCACCACAACATGAGAAATTGTATTAAAAGTGGCAACGTTAGGAAGGCTGAGAACCACTGGTCCAGAGTGTTCTCAGCAGCCTTCGCCATCACCACTCCCCTTCCCTCTTCCCCTCACTGCCCTCCTAGTACCTATTTATGGGCTTGATGTTCTGGGAGTTGTTATGGTTTAGGTAAATGGTGCTGTTCCCAGAGCTGGGAGCCGTGTGGCAGGTGAGAAACAGAGACCTATTAGGTATGCCATGCAGAGAAAGTGGGTATTTGTTTAGTGGGTTATGGAGGGGAAAGGGAAAGGGAGGGAGGGGAGAAGGGAGAAGAGCAGAGAGAGAGGGAGAGAGAGAGAGAGAGAAAGAGAGAGAGAGAGAGAGAGAGAAGACAGAGAGAGAGAGAGAGAGAGAGAGAGAGAGAGAGAAACAGAATCAGAGATAGAGAGGAGGGGGAAGGGGAAAGTGTGGAGAAGGGAGAGAGGCAGAAGCTGCCTCTTTGGGAGAGAGATGGAAAGGGAGGAGTTCAGACTGGAAGCAGAAGGAAATCCCATACCTCAGTAGTGGATGGGGGAGTGGGCAGGGCTTGTCTCTTAAAGGGGCAGGACAAACCATTATAGGGGCCATAAACTCGTTGACACCAGGGTACCAGTATCAAAAGTCATTGCTCATTTCTGTTCTGATCTGTAACATCTAGGACTCCGTATGCATTACATAGTCAACAGAGCTGTTAAAGGAGAGATTAAACATCTAAGCTCTCAAATTAGCAAGGTTATGTGAATTGTGTCACCCTAAAGATACTGGGATCAACACTAGAACCTAAGTCATTTGGAAAGAAGCTTGTCTTAGTCGATTTTCTTTCTATAAACAAAAAGACCTGAGTCTGAGTAATCTATAAAGGAAAGTTTATTTGGCTAGTACTCCAGGAACATCATGCTGGCATCTCTAGCCAAGACTCTTGCTTCGTCATAGCACGAGAACTAAGGAGAAGAGGAGAAGAAACAGCCACGTGCAGCAGAGATCAGGCACATGCCACTTGCCACTCATGAGCGCTCACTCCACAAAGCCAGCATTGGTCACCTCTGAAGACAATGACCAAAGACTTAAACAGCTTCCACAGAGGCCTCACCACCTCTCAGCACCCCCACACTGAGGGCCAAGCTACCAGCATTTGGCCTTTTAGGAGATGCATTCAGACTGTTTTCAACCCATAGCAAAGACGATGAAGATGAGATCATCGGGAAGGGCATGATCTTGGGGAGTCCTGATAAGCAGGAAATATTGGGCCCACAAAAACATGACTGGAGGGAAGACATTATATACAGGAAACGAACACTAGCCATGGGCCAAGGAACACCCTTAGCATCTGAAGCCTGAGAAGGGGCACAGTACAGAGGATCTGATGCCCAGGTAGCTTGGTCTCAGACTTCCAGCCTCCAGAACTGTGGATTTCTGCCATGCAAACCATGATTTCTGTGCTATTTTGTTACACAGGAAAACGATACACACAGAATACACAGAAATCCTGAGTTGCAAGTTCGGCCGTTTAAAGGCCCTTCCCCTTCATTCGCTCTCCTAAGCTAATATTGACGAAGGTATGCCATATGGCGGGCCCTATCTGAGGCAGCAGTCAGACAGGCTCCAGCTTTGGGCTTCCTTGCCCTGGAATGTTTGTGGACTTCTTTTCTGACTTGCAAAACGAGTCCTCTGATCTTTCCCAGTTCACTCCTCAAGAAAGGTGCCCTTGGTTTCAGCACTCACCTTCAAAGAACCAACCAGCACTCTGGCTCCTCCTCTCCCCAGACAAAGTTAAGGTCCTGGAAGCCGAAATCACCTCTAACCACAGCTGAATCCCCACCATACCACTCCTGTGGGTATGAATGAGTTTTCTACAGGGAGCCCCAGGCTCAAGTGTCTACTCCCCATCCCCGGGCAGAGCCAGCCCTGGCCTGGAGGTTTACATCTCCCACTGACACAGAAGCATTAGTTTCAGTGTATCAACAACAGTTCAAATTATACCTCTGAGCTGCTTAAGGGTAGGGATGTGGCCTGCCATGTGCGTCAAGCAGTCGTTTTGTGCTACACCCCCAAACTCTCCGTGGTCAGTTACTGCACAGGGCCTCTAGATGTCATCAGTAGAAACAGTAAATGCGGAGCAAGCAAAGCGAGGCGTAAGGCTTGGCAGCAAATTTGTCAGCAAGTGTGTTCTTTGATAATAAAGATAGCTCAATAAATGTTCAGATCACTAACACAGCTGTACTAGTAGGAGTTTTAGTCAATTGAATAC